TGTCTTATTAAATTGGAACTTTAAGCATAGTTTTGCCTTCGACTCTGATTTAATTCTGCATGGTATTTGGAACACTGACACAGAGTCTACATTGCAATTTAATTTTTAACTCGCTTTTTAAAAAGTATAATTTTCAGCTATACTAACACCAAAAAGCAAGAAGTTAAAAAGTAATTATTTTGCATATGATGACAAATTTGAATCTGATTCAACCTTTGCTATAGGTGGTGATGCAATTCAATCAATTTTTATACATGTCTTAAACCACCCACTTGCTTTGGTTTGAAAGCATATAGAGGTAGACTACCCTGTTTAACAATTGTTCTAAGCTGAAAAATTGACTTTGTGGCCAGTTCTTGAACTTACAACCGTCATGGCATCCTGCAGTCGTGCGATCATCATTTCGACCTTCACAACTGGCTTTTGATAAGCAAAATCAAAGGAGAAGCTGCAGTAAAATCCCAAGTCAAGGCCATGTGATGTCTCCGTTAACTATCTGCAGTGACATGCTCTTAATAACCAATGGGAAGAGATGTTGTAAATCTGTTGTGGCTGTAAGTCTGTTGTGTTGTGTTTAGCATTTGTGTTGCAGGTTCCACTTTTGTTTGCTAAGTAATAACTGTATGGAGACCTTTGTATACTGTATATTGCTGGTAAAAACCCGCTTGACCAGTAGATGGCAACGAAGAAATACAGAAATCTTTGGTTCATAGCTGCTATCCTGTGATTGCCCAGATACGGCAGCCTCATTCATGAGGAGGCGGTAGCCCTCACAATTCCTGCATCAGTAGAGAGCTATTGGAGATTCTTCTAGGCACACCCTAGTTCACCCCTATTTTTATCTGGATTTTGAAACTCTTTTCCCATAAAATGTTTAAAATCAGAAAGCCTATATTTTCCTTCCATTTTGCTACTTTACATTTCTGCATAATATATGCCTGGCAATCAACTCCCTGCAGCCATAGGAGTAATTCAATCATCACTGAAATGAAATTTGCAGATCCTTGTAGGCACAAGGTCAATCCTCAACAGGGTGGAATTCTGGCTCATTTTTAGCGTTCTATTTTCCTTCCTCGTCTACTCACTGGTCCTGCTGGCGTGGTCATTTCCACTCTCATCACCTGTCCGCCTTCCTTCTTCTGTGTCCGATTGGATCTGCTGTTCGTAGGGCCTTTTGCGTTGACCATTTTTATCTTGGCTGAAGGAAGATCTCCTTTTGCGTCTTTTTTTCTGGTTGCTATGGGGCATTGGTAGCCCAATGTAAATGGAATGGTAATCTGCTAGAGGAGACAGCCAATCAGCACAAAGAGAGCAAATGAGAAAGCTCCCCATTCATGAAAATACCACACAGCATATAATGTGTTAAATTAGTCTCCCAAGAATAGAATATCTATTTGCCAAGTGTGATTGGACAGACACAGAATTGGTCTCCAGTGCATAAGTTCTCAGTGTACATACAAACAACCAGATAATGTAATCACAAGGTATCAATAGGAGAAGTTGAGTTGACACAGGAAGAACATTCTTTGTTGTGCCTTTTTAATGACGGTTCTAATGTTAGATGTCCATTTCAAGTCCTGGGAGATAATAGAACCCAGAAACGTGAAGGTCTTTACTGTTGATACTGTGTTGTTTAACATTGTAAGAGATGATAGAATAGAGGGGCTCCTCCTAAAATCTCATATCATCTCTACAGTTTTAAGTGTGTTCAGTTCCAGATGCACCACAGGGGGAGTGGTGCACTCCCATCTGTATGCACACTCATCATTATGTTGAATGAGACCAAGGACTGTTGTACCATTTGCAAACTTCAGGACTTTGACAGAGGGAGGGAGGGAGGCGGCTGGACAGGTGTGTGAAAGTCATGTAAATGGGACATGGCACAATGAAACCACTGCCTCTCCGGGCTCTTCGAGTTTAAGGGAGTTGGTCTATATATGCCATTCTGATAGTCCCCGTTTATGAAAGATGTTCTGAAGCTACATTCTTGGGCATGATCAGGGATTGTTCCCCCTTCTTGGCTCCTGATGCTGCTTTCAAATAGGCCTCTTGAGGAGACATTAAGCACCTAGATCCTGCAGGAGTTACGTAGTTGCCCCTTGAAAGGAGCAGGTGGGGACAAATGGATGAAAGCTAGACTTTTTCTGGCTAAATGCTTTTAAGTGTTCAGCAGACTCTGCAAACAATTTGGGATCACATCCTGGACAAGGAAGGGAAGACTTTTCCCAGCTACAGATGTGATTTACATGTAACTAAAACATCTAAATTGCATTTTACTTAGGGAAGTACATAAGGGAAACGAGGGACATGCTCCATGTCAAAGGGTTGTATGACATTAAAACTGGAAAAATCCTTGTGCCACCATAGAAGAGGCAATTTGATTCAAGGAAACGCACAGGGGGAATTCCCTTACCCTCTTCGTCATCGTATTGCATTCTGAAGGTGCTCAGGCATCTCTCGCCCAGGGTGTCGTTCTCGTACATCATGGCCAACCAGCAAATGCTATCATAGATTTAAAGGTAAAGAATTATTAAATAATAATGAAATATTAATGCACCTAGTGAGAAATTACTAATTCAGCACTTTAAAAGAAAAAAAATGAAATAAGGACCAATGAAAAGGTGAATGAGAAACCATTACTCATTCCTTTTGGAAGAAGCAAGGTTCTACAAAGGGAAGAAAATGAGTAATTAAGATGTAAATAAGAAAAAATATATAATTATACATGAGCTGTGTTGGCTCAGTGGTTAGACTGCAGGCTAGCTCTGTGTGAAGTTCCCAGAAGATGACCTAATTAATTTATGAGCCTCGAGACAAAGNTTCTTCTGCTCTGCACCGGCGTGACTCCACCCTGGAAGTCCGAAACTTGCTTATATTTTGTTGCATTGATAAACCTACCTTCATATTTTCTGCAACTCAAAGCAGTGCATAGAATGGTCTCGCCTTCTATGGATTGACTGATTAAGAGTGTGGCCAAAGTCACTAGCTACTTTTCATGCCTAAAGGAGGACTAGAACTCAACAGTTTCCTGGTTTCTGGTCCAGCACCTTCATCCCTACGCCAAACTTGATCTCAGTTGGTTTCGGTCCTTTTTGTTTTGCCAGCATCCTTTGCTGGTGGCTTCATAAATTGCCTACTAAACCTTCTTCCTTTCTCTTAATGTATTAGTAAGTGAAGTTTCAATGTTTGTGGCATCTGGAGCTCTCTGTAGGAATTTGCTGCAGTGCAGTTGTTAACCAAGAAGCAGAGAAAATTAGGACAGAAAGAAATCTGAACTACCTGAAATTCAGTTGTTCTGTCTGTTTTTAAAAAAAGGTATATTCATGGTGAACAAGATTGCTTTGGAAAGTGTTATTATTTTTAACATTATTTAGGAGCTGATCAAGCAAAATAATTTAAAGTTTCCTTTGGTAAGACCAGAATGGTGGATAAGTGCCAGAAAGCTGCACCTTTTGTATTGAGAACATTTCTTTCAACAATTTTCTAAGAGAGGTTAGCAATATTTATTTAAAATGTGAATACTTCTGTTTCTTAAGACAGCTGCTTCATTAAATCCCATGCAATTAAAGAAATTCTGAATCATTAATAATTTGATTATTTCAGTGATTTCCTTTAGAACACAACTGGTGTGGGGTGGGAAACTTTCAGAAGCTAAATATGCTATTTACAGTAATATTTGGATGATGATAGCAGTAAGGATTGCAGAAGGAAGGGCAAGAATGTAAAATGAGTAGAACCATACCAAGTGAACAAAGATGGGACTTAATGAGGGCACATTTGGGAGATTCAATGTTTTTCCTGGTTTTTATCTGTGTTGAATCATTTCAGAGCTGAATTCAATTTTCACATGGTTTCTATGTCAAAAGTGCAAAACCAGCATTCCCAATTTCAATCATCATGCCAAAATAAGAATCATGTTACGCATGTTAGAAGAATGTTACTCTTCTGAATATATGTCATATTTTACTCCTTCAATTGTTGATCTAAGCTGAGTCATCTTGAATTAAAATCTGTTAAGTTTCTTTAAACTTAACAGATTTTAATTCACATCAAGGGAAGTCCTGTGCACTAGAGGCATACTGTAAGTGGATCTGAAGTGCATAAGGGTACATAGATAAGATCCAGTCTGAGCATTCTTTTTCTACTTTTTTGAGGCTCCTTCAACAAGCTGTGCCTTTTCTTGGCCTGGCACAGTGCAAATGGTAGTGGGAAACTGCCTGCTGCTGCCCTATCTCCCATCACCCTAACCTCCTTGCCTGGAAAGTACTGTACTTTTCGGTATATAAGATGCACCCCCCCCCCCAAAAAAAGAGGGTGGAAATGTTCGTGCGTCTTAAACACTGAATATGGCCATTTTTGTCCTCCCAAAATCCAGCCCTGCACATCCCATTTTTGCCAAAAATTGGGCGTGCAGACGGTTTGGGAAGCTTGCAGAGTGATCCTGGGGGCTGGGGAGGGCAAAAACAGGATGCATGGGGGATTTGGGAGAGCTAAAAATGGGCC